CTAAAAAAATAATACTACTTACATAGGAAAGAAGTAATTCCAATGGTATTGAAAATTGGCAAAATCCTGGTTTTGGAAGGGCTGCTGGGAGTTGCTAAGATGTTCAGGATATGAGTTGACAGTCTAAAAGGTGACTATACCAATTTCCTTGATTTTGCAGAGCTGAATGAGTTGCTTTGTTCCTTAGACTATGCACATGGAAATAGGAATGGTTTCCCTTTGACATAGACGCTATTAATATAAAGAAAGTTATCTGGGCTTTCAGGAAAGTATAAACCAGAACTTTCTCAGAAAGGGTGTGGATATAGAACAGACTGTGGTTGCCTCTATGCAACTGTTTCAAATACCCCCTAAAGGCACCTCATTTTTAGAACTGAACTAATATTACTTATTTGTTGACATAATTTAACTTTTTCTTATTTTTAAGAGACATAGCAAATTATGTGTTCTGCCTCTAGATTAAGAGATGGAGCAAAAATTTTGTACCCCTGGTTAAATTCATGTTTTCTTCATACTTTGAATGGTAAAATTCTGGTTCCTTTCCTTCCAAAAATGTAATAGAAATTGCAACATTGCACCATGACTGATGAGAGTATGGAATGGCTTCCAGGCTAGGAATAAAGAAAACCGAGAAGGAACAGGATATAAAAAAAAGAGTAGCACTGCCAGGATTGACATGAACTGACAGTTCATCATCTGTGCTGGTAACAAATTTGGGATCCACACCAAGATGCTCTCAGAACCAGGTCCAGGACAAAGGAGGTGAGTTTCACTCAACAGGCTGTCCCATGTGCTGGGAATACAAGAGGTTTCCAGGATTTTAAGAGTGGACTGCACAAACATTTGGAAGAGCAAAACCCTTCAAGTTATTATTTAGACAGACAACATCAGGCTTGGGATAGGTGAAGGGTGAGAGGGTTTAAAGGAATTTTTGTGAATTTTTTCCATTCTTCCTTTTGAATTTTTTCCATTCTTCCTTTTCCTTTGTGATTTTTTCCATTCTTCCTTTCCCCTAGATGTCAGGCCATGATCACCAGGAGGAGAGAAATGTGACTGAGACAGAGCCCAGCTCTGAACCAGTGCAGACATTCTGATGCTGTTAGGTATTTTTAAATATTGATGATGATTTCCTGAAGATGGAGCATGGCAGGAGACAAGTGGGCGAGCAAATATTATTTCTATGAATGGTCTCACAGAAGTGAACCCAATGCATTTCTGAGTTGTCTGATTCTTCAAGAGTTTGCAGACCCAAGATCTAAACTGTTTAATTCAATTGTGAGACATTGCATATGAAGTATGACCATATATGCTTCCTTTTAAATTTGCATTCCACCTATTAAGAAAATACATTTTTGTCCATGCTGCAGCATTTTCTGAACATTTGATTCACTACTGTGCCCCACTGAAATCAGGCAACTAAACAGCTACAGTGTACTCAGCATCTTATCAGAATTGTGTAGCAGCACTAAAGTGTCATAAAACAGATTAAAGCATTTGGGTTTAGCATTAAGCATTAAAAAGCATTAAAGCATTTTTCCTGGTCTTCTACCTGTTGAATATAAAGAAACATAGACTTCTGTTATTCAGACAGACCAGGGAGCTACAAGTAAAATCTGGATTACAAGTAGCATCAACAGTGGCTAAAAAGGTCCTAATGAACCAGTAGAAAATTTGTGGGAGTGTTTCTGAATGGCTTGCACTATGCTTACCCAGCTCTGCATTATTTTCTGACCAGTCTCAAGTGTTCTGGATTTTTTCTGGCTTATTCTTAAGAAATACACCTGGGATGTATTAGGAAAATAGTAAGAAAGAAAGGAAAGTCAGAAGTGATTCCTAAATGTTGATTAAGTAGTTAGATGCAAACTACTTGTGAATTAAACAGTTCTAAGTTATTTCTGAGGCTGAGAGGGAGCTTTCATGGTTAAAACCCTCTCTGAATGTTTCCAAGAGACATCTCCAGCACGACTCTGATCCAGCAATTTGGATTTGTTACACCAATTGTCTGCAGAGAAAGAAATGTCAAACCCTCCCATCAATGTCCTTTCTCTGACAAGCTCTCCCTCCTTTGAACTACAATAACGAGGACAGCATTGTTTTGCTTTGCCACAGACGCTCCCCTGAGTTTTCTGAAGGCTTCAGAGGTTCGGTGGAATTTGACAAGAGGTATTTGGGCTTTTGTGTTTGCCTTTAATTGCTGCGCCCGGGGTGGATCGCCGGACCCTGGGGACTGTCACAGCCTGCAGGAGTGGCACTGCACGCAGCCTGCAGATGTTTGCATGCTCAGAGCAAAGATTCTGTTCCAAAATGTTTGTGTAACTCCCATGCCTGGCAGCTTAAAGAGCTGCTGCCCTCCTACACGGTGAATAGGTGCTTATATTTCTGTATGATGGGCTAGCTGTGGAAATACACAGAAATAAAAGTTTATTGGGCTGTTGGTAATGGTTACACTGTGTCACAGTTTGGGTTAAAACCTTAGGTATTTCTGTCAGCTCTCCTTCAACAACAAACAAATTCATCTGCTTGTTCTGGCTCTGCCACGGTTCATTTCAGGATGAGCATTTGGTTGTAAGTTTCTCGAGATGCACAGACCTTCAAAAACTATGGACAAACTCCAATATTCATGAGGCACCAGCCCACTAACTGCAACTGCAACAGTGGTGAACCCATTAATCAGACTTTTATAGCAGTGAGATAACCTTCTATGTGTACAGCTCTGTTAAAAACATATATTTAAAATCAGAAAATTAAAATAAACCGTGTGTGTTTTGTGATGGAATGTCTGCTAACATAAATACTTTTACAGCCACATAAAAATAGAAACATTAAATACTTCGTTTTTCCATAGGTCTGTTAAGCAACAGCCAGTGCTTTTATTAATATGCTGTTTCTCTTTTTAATTGCACTTTTATTTAGAAAAATTCACAATCCTGACTTATGAGGAAAGTTAAATGGAATCATACAGAAAACTCGAAATGCAAACAGACATGCCTCATTCCTCTAAAACAAGAGACTGGTTCTTCATATGCCAGTAGTTTTTTCTAGTCTTAGGGAGCCATTTGTTTCCCTTTCTCTCTTGAAAAGAATTAAATAAATGGAAGTTTGCCCCACTTCCCCCCTCACACATCCACATACATGCACAGGACCAACAAAACGCAGTAATTTTCCACTGGCACAACAGCCTTTCAGTGCCTGCCATCTGCTGTGCTGGCAGGACCCACCAGAGGAGCTCCAGCAGCAAGGCAGGAACTGGAATGTCACGTTGTGAATATTCATTCCATTTTCATTGTCACAGCTGGGCCTCAGCATCCCTCCCAGACTGACCCTGCCTCCCCCGGCCTCCCTGTGGCAGCTGTGGGGAGCAGACAGGAGTAAGGCACTGAAATCAAAGCTTACAACTCACAAACACCCAAGTCAAAACCATTCCCCGTTCCTGCTAGGGGGTAGGGATGTCTGTCATTCCCACTGACCACTGTTACTGACACAGATTTTTAAGGACTTCTGCTCTAGGAAGAGCTTTGGTGAAATACAACTTTTCTAGATCCATAACCAGTTTATTCTGAATTTATTTATTGTAGAGTGTCCTTTCCCTTCTTGCTAATTCTGTTTCTGGATTAAGTGTCCGTACTTCCAACATGGTGAACATGAGTGCACATCTTCTGCAGGTTTCAAACGTGGGACCGGAGTTCAGATGTCCCAAAGGACAGTCAGTCTCTTTAGGAAGCACTCCTGCACTTCATTCAAGTTAAAACATGCTAAATTTAGACTTCTATTGAAGCCTACCTTCTATTGTTTCAAACCTACCAAACCTAATGTTTCCAAGAGCCGGTCTCAGCAGGTAGGTTTACAGTGCTCTGGGAGGTCCATGGTGGATTCTCTGGGTCTGCCTGTGGATCCTGAAATTGTGAGATCCCTGGGCAATAAATCTGCTTTAGTGCACACAACTCCTAAGTTCCTTATCTCTACATAAAGACTAACAAGGTAAAATAAACCAAATCTGTCAGTTAAGTCCTCCTCATCAGCAACTCTTCCCAAGTCAAGTGATGACATCAAGACAAACTTTCCCTTACTTCTACATGCTCCATGTTCTGATGGGAGCAGATTATCCTTTGTCACTCCTCACACGTGAGCTCACAGATTTGCCTTCTGCACAGCTGAGGCCAGTCTAACTCCTGACTGTGAGACATGTCACAGCCATGATCCCTCAGGGAGTCCCGACTGGCAGAGCTTGCTGAGTGCCAAGGGCTATGCCGGGCTGCAGGGAGAGGATCGTGGACTGCACTGGGAAAAGCATGGGTTGCAGGTAGAGGGAGATCATCCTGCCCCTCTGCCCAGACCTGTGTGGCACATCTACAGTGCTGTGTCCAGTCCTGGGCTCCTCAGCACAGCAGGGACAGGGAGCTCCTGGATTGGGGCCAGTGGAGCTGCAGAGATGATTCAGGGCCTGGAGCATCTGTGGCAGGGAAAGGCTGAGGGAGCTGGGGCTGTCCAGCCTGGAGAGGAGCCCCAGCTGAGAGGGGCCCTCAGCCCTGGGTGTCCCTGTGTGCAGGGAGGGCTCCGAGCAGGGCCCAGGCTCTGCTCCAGGGCCCAGCAATGGCACCAGAGGAACGGGCAGGGACTGAGGCCAGGAGGTTCCACCTGGGCAGGAGGCAGAACTTCTGTCCTGGGCAGTGACTGAGTCCGGAGAGGATGGCGAGTATCCCTCGCTGGGGATATTCCAGAACCGTCTGGAGCGAATCCTGAGCCGTGCGCTCGGGGATGGCCCGGCTGGAGCAGGACAGCAGCCGCGGCAACCCCAGCGCTGCGCTCCGCTCCGCTCCGCTGCGCTGCGCTCCCAGCCCGGTCTCTGTCCCGCTCCCTGTCCCGGGGAGCCGCCGCTGCGGGACGGGGCTAGGCGGGGCGGGCGGTGCGCGCCGGCGGGCGCGGCCAATGGCGGAGCGGGGCTCGGCGGCGCGCGGCTCTCGCGAGAGCCGGCGGGTAAACATCGGCCCCCGCCGCGGGCCCGCCCGCTGCCATTAGCGCGGGGGCGGCGCCGCGCTCGGACCGGGCGGGAGGTGAGTTCTGAGGCGAGCCGGGTCCCGAGGGGAGCCGGGCGCTCTCCGCCCCGGCGCTGCCCGCGGAAACAGCCCCGGCACGCTGCCGCTGGAGACTGGGAATCTCCCCCTGCCTCCCCTCTTTCCTCCCCCCGCACCGTGAGGCAGCAGGAGCAGCCATCGCCGTGGAGGCTGAGGGAGCGCAGCCTCAGCCTCGGTGCGGGGACGGTCGGGGGTGGCTCTGGGCTGCGGGGCAGTTCGCCCGCCTGTCCCTCGGGTGGCTCTGCCCGCAGCCCCCGGGGTGGCTCTGCCCGCAGCCCCCGGGGTGGTTTGTGCCCCTGCCGCCGGCTGGGAGGCTGAGGTGCCCCCGGGGTGTCGGTGCGGGCAGCGAGGTGAGCCCGGCGCGGGGAGCAGGGCCGGGCTGTGCGGACACCCCGCCGGCAGGGTCAGGGCTGGGCTCTACTCGTGCTACAGAACGTGGCTCTGGGCTTAAGGGAGTCCTGCCCTCTTTAGAAATAAATAAATAAATAAAGGGCCGAAATTATCTCCGTAATGCGCTTAGAAAAGCAAACAACCTTCACAAGTTTCCACTCGCGGGAGGAGCAAATCGCAAACCTTGTGCAGAGGCGGAGGAGTTGGGGGTTGAGGCCCCGTGGTTTGGCTCTCCGGCTGGTGCTCTGTGTCTGCAGACAATTCTCATTGACTCAGGTAAAAGTTAAATGCCAGGGACTTACAGAGGTCGCGCTGTTGTTGTTTGGTTTTACTTGATCTGGAACGCCTTGGGTTAGAATAGCAGAGCTCACACGCGTGCCTCGCTGATGTACCTGCCTTCCTCTTGCAAAATCCACACTGGGGATGAGTGAGCCTTGCTGTAGCCTCTCAATCAAAAGCAATGTCGATGTTTCATTTTTGTTTGTTTTTTTTTTTTAAGAGAAGTTTCCTGTAAGATATTTGGTTGTTGATATTGGGATGTATTGGTTTTGCTTTTACCTCCTTTTTGGCGAGCAGTAGGGTTTTTGTTGACTGTAGATGTTGGTCAGGTGTACTGATTCAGTGTTTTGATTACAGTTTTAAAAAGTCACTTAAAACAGAGGGATCTTGTTTATGAGTGTTTATGATGCTACTAAATCTCGCTAGAGTTGTGCCTGCTCCATAAAAGATGCCTGAATATACACAGGAATCTGAAAAAATTGTTTTCATTCCTTATCCTTCAGGAGTGAAAGAATATCAGCTTTTAATTTTACTCTGAAGAGTAAAAAGAAATAGGAGCCCACAGGCTACTGACCTGAGAGGTGTTGATCAGTGGGCACCCTCATTGCATTTGAGACATCTCTTACTGTATCCAGTAGAATTGCTGCAATTTTACCTTCTGTGCCATATGTAGACTTGTTTTCCTGGCTTTGTTAAGAAGTGTCTTGGATAGGAAAAGTCAAATTTGCATAGCTCTGTGGACTCATTTGTTTTTCATCATGTACATGACATACTAGATGTTCAATTTAAATATTTTTGCTTAACAGAGCTTAAAAAAATTCTAAACACTTATTTCTCAAGCATTTCAGGGGAAAACAAGTCCCAAGCTACTAGCTAAGCAGTATTCAGAAGCAAATATTTACAGAGGACAGGTATCATGCTTTTTTTTCAGAAAGTTAGTCTGCCTTAAAAAAACAAACAGCAAATGCACACCCCATCATTAGCTTGCAGTGGACTTGGACTAGGCCTATGGTCTGGGTGGGGGAATGCTCCCAGGAGAACAGAAATTTTGGGTTTCTGTCAGAAATTTTGGGTTTCTGTCAGAGGATCTGCTGGGGACCTGCTTGTGTGAGCTGCCCTCGGGTGGTCTGATGTGCAGTGGAGTCCCTGTGGGGCTCTCCTGGCTTGGAGCAATGTGGGATGTCACAGAGGAGTTCAGTGCTTGTGGCTGAGGTGTGCTCACCTGTCCTTTCTCAGGAGTTCTGTGTAGCCCCCCTTGGCTCATCTGTCTTTTTGTCCCCAAACTTTGAATGGTGGGTGGGAGGTTTTTAATCATTTGGGTTACTGCTGTAGTTTGGGATGGCTCTTGAATCCTGTGGTGACCACAAGGAGCTTAGTCACTGTCTGTGTCCCCTGCATCTGTCTAGGCAGTGAGTTTGTCTTGCTTCCAGAGCTTATCTCCTCCCTACAGATTCAGCTTTTGCTCAGTCCATGTTTATTCCAATAAAAATGTTGTTCTTCCCACCAAGTTTAAGCTGAGCATTAGTTAAAATGCGAAGCCAGTTGATAAACTTTGATATTTGTATTCCAGGAGGTGCAGGGTAGACATGGAAATTGCAATGAAAAGAATTGCTTCTCTGAATGCAGTATTCATCAGCACAAAGCCTGCTAAGCTGATATTATATGGTAAATGGTTTGCTTTTAGTCTCCCAGAAAGAGGCTTTGTGTCTTAGGGTAATGGCAGTTGACATAAATCAAACATACAATTGTCCACAAAATCATTTAATCTTCTCTTGTTGCTCCTTCTAACATATAGCTGCACTTAGAGCAGACCTGCCACTAGTGGTAATTGCATTGCTGTGCCTTGAAAATATGGGTTTGATAAATAACTGGAGTCTAATTTTTGAGATGGGTTGGTGCAGAATTTTTCCAAGTCTGGTGATTAAATAACAGCTTTTGTTGTGCAAGAAATTGTTATACTGGGATAAGCCAATTTAATATTGTGGGGTAGGAACTCGGGGAAGAGTTATTTATTTTGTGTTATGAATTTAAATAGTGAACTGTATTTAAGGTGGCAGGGTCTTGTCTTGAAGACTCAGAAATTAATTGTCAAATGCAGCAGAGCAGACTTTCTAATTTGATTGGTACAGAAGATCCTGCAAATCTGTAGTTTAAAACTACAGAATAGCTTCAGCAGTCCCACTGCTCCAGTATTTGCATGGGGAAGTAATAGAACATTTTCCTCTTAACAATATAAAACAAAACAGGAAGTAGGGGAAGAAATAAATGATCAAGAGAAACTCAGTTTCCTTGACATAAATAATTTGAAGCTTTAGTAGTATGGGAAGCATTAAAAGGGGCAGTTGTTGTAGTTAACACTGCCTTACTTGTGAAATCAGGTAATCTTGTAAGGCATGCATTGATATATCACTAAATACCTGTTACAGATTAAAAAAGCAAAGGAAAATGGTGGATCAGGAAAGAATATAAATTTTTTATGCTTCAAGTAGCTGATTTTTCTGATTTCTTGGTAATTTAGGTGCTGGATTTTGTATTCTGGTTTGTACTGTAGACCTGAAACTTAGTTTGTGTTGTGTGTCTTTAATATTTATACCTGCAGACTTGCAAATTTGTTAGCTGACCTGTGGTTTCATGAGAGTTACAGCTAGTCAGAATGTGAAGAAAAGAGAAATATTTGGAAGAATATTTCTATGGGATTTTGATTGTCTAAGGAACAGTTGTCTTTATGTTTTTACTTGTAAAAGGAGCAATGGTTGATTAAAATGGTAGCCTGGATTTAGGGGATTTCAGAAGAGTGAGAATGCCCTGAAGTAGTAAAAAGGGAATCAACTCTTCACCTTTTAGTAACAGGGAGCAGCCATGATGAAGTCATAGTTTGGTGTGTGCAGGTTGTGCAAACAAATGGAGTTTATCAAAGGTGACAGAATGAATGGGAGGGAGGAGGAAAAGGGATAACTCAAACCTGTGTGGGAGAGGAAGAGTGTTTACTGTACTGCAGCTTATATTAGCTGTGCCTCTTATGTTCCAGAGTTTGAGCCTGTGATCACTGACGTGCTGTAGAGGAGCTCCAGTCTTAGCAAAGACCTTGACATATTGGAGTGTGTTAAATTTCCTTCCACAGAAGGGGAAACAAAAAATATTTTTCTTGTCTTTGACCAGATGAAAGGTTGTGAAACCTTTTCTACTCTGTGTCATAAAGAGAGCTGTTTACAATTCTGAGAGCACTGTGTGTAATGTCACATTAAGTACTGCACTTATAAAATGTGCCAAGGTATTTTAGCAATTAAATCTCCTGGTAGGAAAACAAAAGCCAGCTGATCATCCCCAGACAAACCCTTGGAAAACCTGGCCTTCCCAGAAAGCTGTACTTGATTAAAGGCCCTTTTCATGAGCCACTGTAGTGGAGTAATGCTTATGAGAATCACACTTGTGCATCAGTTGGTTGCAGTTAAAATGAAGATTTTAACACCAAACCAGAGGAGTGGCAGAGACTCAGCTTGTACCCAGGAGTGTACAGAAGGGGCAGAGTTATAACTTCCATTGCCATAGCCAAGGGATGGGAAGGGATGGCAGTCATCACTTCAGCAGGGCACCTGACTGCCCTGAATGGCTGCTGAGGGCAGAAGCAGCAGAGCAGAGGGGCTTGGAGGAGCAGCTTGTCACAGGTGGGGATCTCTGTGTGCCTGGGGGCTCTCCTGGTGGTACAGGCTCCACGTCCCTGGTGCAGCAGAGAGGGAGACAGCTCCTTGGCATTGCTGTGCTGGGCCATGAACTTCCTGCAGCATCGCTGAGAACCCCCCAAAGGACAGATGGGAGCCTCCTCCTGACAGATCACTGCCACTCTGGAGAGTCTTGAGCCTCTTCTGTGGCTAAAAAGTCTCAGCGTTTTTATGACTTTACTGGTATAAACCTGCTTACATCTGAAATGATAGGTAAATTCCAAAGGATATTTCCTTGTCTGCAGGAGGGCTGTTGTGTACAAACCAGCCAAGCTGTGGATGGCCTCACCACAGATCCCTTTCCTTGTGATTAGATGTCCTAGATTTCCATGGATCACACCTGCACACAGAGGAGGGGACAGGATGCAGGGATCCCAGTGTTGCCCCTTCATTACCCAGGGCAGAGCTGCCTCTTTGGCTGATAGCTAGGTTTGAACCAGACTCAGGAGAAGGCAGGGCTGGTTCACAGGCTTCCACTGTTTCCCATAAAAACTGAGGAAAACCTTTCCTTTCAGGAGAAATCCCCTTTTCCCAGATTGGCCCAGTAGAAATGGCAGACCTTAGACCAATGGAATCAGGCCCCTTTTCCAA